CGCCCAGCCCCCCAGCCAGAGGCGAGCCGAGCCCGAGCCGAGCGAGCAGCGAGCAGCGAGCAGCCAGTCAGCCGGAAGCCAGCGCGGAGGCAGGTCGGACCGCTAGTGCGAGTGCGAGCGGTGGCGCGGGCGCGAACAAGGAGCGAGACGATGACGACGCAGCGCGTGACAAGCTGCTCTGCGGCCCTCGGCCCTCGGTCGGGGCCTGCCTGTGACTGTGGTACCCTCATGCTGTTTCGCTGGAAAAAAGTGAGTTGTGACCGCATCAGTTGTTGCACTTTGTGTTGCCGTTTCGACTGTGCTGAGTGGCCTCCAGCTTTTCTGTTGTTATACTGTACCGCATTCCTACGTGCGGTCGAATCGCCTTCTCACTAGGCCCGTAAGGCATTATTGCGTCTAGTCATTGTAGGTGCTTTCGTCTGTTATGTGTGTGAGTGCTCGTGGATACTTTTACCTAGAGATGTGACGAGGTTTCCAACCTTTTTTGTATCTGTCCATATTGTGAAGATGTACACTTCCTCTGCTTTGTCCCGCGTTTCTTTGCAACACGTGCCAAAAAGACTTTTTATACTAGAATTGAAACATTCCGGTGAAGCTGAAGTGCCGAAGAATGCGGGGAAGAAGACAACGGAAATAACTATGCTTTAACATGGTGACTCCCGTTTGCTTGTTCCCCGTATTCTTCTGCTTTTTCGCTTTACCGGAATGCCTTATTGTGTAGATCGTAGTGTGCATATCTGGGTTACTGTGTTAAAATTTTGAGTTGCACAATGCGTTCACTGTACTAGCTTTATGTACGTCGGACCACGTCTCGCGTAATAGGCTTCGCGATATCTCACGAAACACAATGAAACATTCCGTTTCAGCTGAAATGCAGGAGAATGCGGGGAAGAAGAAAACGGAAATTGCCATGCTACAACATGGTGACTTCCGGTGACCTCCGTTTTGTTGTTCCATGCATTCTTTTGCATTCCAGCTATACCGGACTGCTTTATTACGCTGCGACGCGGCTGGCGCACTAGGCCAAATTAATAGGAAAGTTTACGGGAATGGGACAATAGGGTACTCCGGGGCTCGGCTAGACCGGAAGTAGAAGAACAAAAATCGTTGGGCGCGGGGAGGAGAGGGGC